GCAGCGGGGAGGGGTTCAGAATGGTTTGGGACTCAGGGACTTCAAATCATTCCAAACCTCTAGAGAACGCTCTTCCAAAAACCAGAGTCCTGCTCTTTTGTAATCAATAATAGTAACAATGGGGTCGGGTGCGGTGGCTTCCTCCTGTAATCCCAGCACTTTGGGAGGTCAAAGCAGGCGGTTCACCTGAGATCAGGAGTTTGAGACCAGCCTGGTCAACATGGCGAAACCCCGTCTCTACTAAAAATACAAAAATTAGCTGGATGTGGTAGCACACACCTGTAATCCCAGCTACTAGGAAGGCTGAGGCGGGAGAATCACATGAACCCAGGGGTAGGAGGTTACAGTGAGCCAAGATTGAGCCAGTGCATACCAGCCTGGGTGGCAGAGCGAGACTCTATCTCAAAGCAAAAACAAAACAGTGGCTAATATTTATTCAGTCCTCTCTGTGCAATGCCCCATTATGGGCAATTTACATGCACTTATATATCAATGAATCCCCATAACCATCTGATGAGGCAGGTCCTATTACTTCTCCATTTTAGCATACAGTTGATTCTCATGATTCATAGATTCCATATTTGCAAATTCACTTAGTAGCTAAAATTTATATGTAAACTCCTCCCCTTCCCTCCCCATATAAATCAATACTTGCAGTGCTTTTGAGGCCATCTGAAGCCTGCGCGTGCCCTGTGCCTGGAGTGGGGGAATATCCCAGTCACCCTGTGCTGGAGTCCCTGGCTGAGACCCAGCAAAGACGCTCTCTCCGCCCTCCTTTCTGCTAGTCTACCGTAAACAAGTGTCCTTTTCTTGGTCTGTTTAGTGCCACATTTTTGGAATTTTTCACTTTTTTTGGTGGTGATTTTGCTTTATTTTATTTTATTTTATTTTATTTTATTTTATTTTATTTTGAGATGGAGTTTTGCTCTTGCTGCCCAGGTTGGAGTGCAACGGCGCGATCTCAGCTCATTGCAACCTCCACCTCCTGGGTTCAAGTGATTCTCCTGCCTCAGCCTCCTGAGTCGCTGGGATTACAGGCGCATGCCACCATGCCCAGCTAATTTTTGTATTTGAAGTAGAGACGGGGTTTCACCATGTTGGCCAGACTGGTCTCGAACTCGCAACCTTGGGTGATCCACCTGCCTTGGCCTCCCAAAGTGCTGGGATTACAGGCACGAGCCACTGCGCCAGGCCGATTTTGCATTTCTAAATGGCCCCTCACGCATAAGATTAAAGTATTATCTAGTGTTCCTCAGTGCAAAAGGCTGTGTGCTGCTTTAGGGAGAAAATACATGTTAGATGTGCTTTATTCAGGCATGAGTTATGTGCTGTTATCTGTGGGTTTGATATCACTGGACTGGGGAGGTGCCCAAACCCAGGTGGGTCCTTGACCCCAGGCTCTTGACATCATTTCAAAAAGGAATTCAGTCAAAAAATAGTGAAAGTACAGAGATTTATTACAAAGTAAAAAGTACATACTCAAGACAGAGGATCGCGGGCCTACTCAAGAAGAGTCTAGCAATGGTTTGGGGTTTCTACCTTCATGGGTTTCTTTAATCAAGATGTAGAATATTCATGAAAATTCCTGGGACAGCCGGGCGCGGTGGCTCAAGCCTGTAATCCCAGCACTTTGGGAGGCCGAGGCGGGTGGATCACGAGGTCAAGAGATCGAGACCATCCTGGTCAACATGGTGAAACCCCGTCTCTACTAAAAATACAAAAATTAGCTGGGCGTGGTGGCGCGTGCCTGTAATCCCAGCTACTCAGGAGGCTGAGGCAGGAGAATTGCCTGAACCCAGGAGGCGGAGGTTGCGGTGAGCCGAGATCAGCGCCATTGCACTCCAGCCTGGGTAACAAGAGCGAAACTCTGTCTCAAAAAAAAAAAAAAAAAAATTCCTGGGACAAGGTGAATATTTCTTGGAACGGTGGTGCCACCCATTTTTGTGCCAAATATGAGTGTTCCTGGAACTGCCGTGGTGCTGGTGGTTGTGTGTTTAGTACGTTAATGACCACATGATCAGGTCCTAGGGGAAGCCTAGGTCAAACCCAGCTGCCATGTTGGGTCCAGACAGTCTTAGCCAGCTTGGTTCATACCTTGGTTTTTCAGGGTCTTAGCAGACCATAGCCTCTAGCCATGTGAAACTGCTGCCTGGAATTTAATTCTCCTGTGACCACCCTGTATTAGTCCTGTCTCATTTTCAATGTTAACGAGTCAGTAATAGACATTCAATAGGCTTCTTTTCGTTTGTTTTTGGTTTGATTTGTTTGAGACTGGAATCTTGCTTTGTTGCCCAGGCTGGAGTACAATGGCACAATCTTGGCTCACTGCAGCCTCCACCTCCCGGGTTCAAGTGATTCTCCTGCTTCAGCCTCCCAAGTAGCTGGGACTATAGGTGTGTGCCACCACGGCTGGCTAATTTTTGTTATTTTTAGTGGAGATGGGATTCCGTCATGTTGGCCAGGCTGGTCTTGAACTCCTGACCTCAGATGATCCACCCGCCTTGGCCTCCCAAAGTGGTGGAATTACAGGTGTGTGCCGCTGCATCTGGCCTCAATAAGGCATCTTTAAACAGAAACACACAAAAAAACAAAGTAATGTATTGCTCTGTTGATAAAAATGTTGTGACTAGAGGCTCACAGGAACCTAACCCTGTATCCTCCCTAGGAGCTGTGGTTTCCAAGGAGCAGTATTCACCGTCTGTGTACTGGGTGACTTTAGGCAACATAACTACAGCAAATACCAGAACTGACTATGATAAAACTGAGGTCCAGAGCCTAAGCCTCATGTTTGTGGCTCAGCAAAAAAGTGAAGGAGCCAGGATTTGAAGTTAGGCAGTCTCATTCTAGAGCCCTAATTTTCTTTTCTTTCTTACTTTTTTTTTTTTTTTTTTTGAGATGGAGTCTTGCTCTGTCACCAGGTTCAAGTGCAGTGGCGTAATCTCAGCTCACTGCAAGCTCCGCCTCCTGGGGTCAAGCGATTCCCCTGCCTCAGCCTGCCGAGTAGCTCGGATTACAGGCACATGCCACCACGCCCAGATTAACTTTTCATGTTTTAACAGAGATGAGGTTTCACTATGTTGGCCAGGATGGTCTCGATCTCCTGATCTGGTGATCCACGCACCTTGGCCTCCCAAAGTGCTGGGATTACAGGCGTGAGCCACCTCGCCTAGCCTCTAGAACCCTAACTTTCAAATGTGGTCTCTAGCAAGGTCTTGCACTCAAATACCATTGTAAATTCAACTCTGAATAGCTGGGAGCTGTCTCAGCCTCCAGAATAGCTGGGACTACAGGTACATGCTGAGTTTATTCAGCTATTTCTGCACAGAAAGCACCTGTAATGATCTGTGCCCCAAGACAAAAGGTGTAGGATATGTGTATCATTCTCTATTTTATCCACAGGCCTCAGAAGCAGCTGGTCTGTTAGCTTTTACTCTCCATAACTTAACTCCACAGAACAGTTATGCAGTTCCCAGAGCTGTGCCTTCGATGGACACGAGGTTTCAGGTGACCGCAAAGATGCTATCAGAGAATACGACTTTCCCATGGGAGAGGCTGAGTTTCCCTGTATGTTGGACCATCTCAGCCAGATATTTCTGTTGTCAGAAACCCATCAGTAACACTCTAGACTGGAGATCAGCAAATATTTTCTGTGAAGGGGCAGACAGTAAATATTTTAGGACTCCTGAGCCGTATAGTCTGCTGCAACTAGTCGACTGTGCCCTTTTATCAAAACGGCAGCCACAGACAATACCTAATGAAGAGGCATGAGTCTGTTCCAATAGATCTTTATTTATGAAAGCAGATGGAGGGCCAGCTGCCCAGCTGCTCTAGAGAAAAGGAGGGGCTGTGTCTTATCTTTTTAATTTCAGCCCCAGCAGTAAAAATTGTCCCTGCGGCCCGGTGCAGTGGCTCACACCTGTAATTCCAGCACTTTGGGAGGTTGAGGCAGATGGATCACGAGGTGAGGAGTTCAAAACCAGCCTGTCCAATATGGTGAAACCCCAGTGAGACTCTATCTCAAAAAAAAAAAAAAAAAAGTCCCTATGTTGCCAAAGAGGAAATGAAAACACAGAGAGCCACAGTCATTTTTTTTTTTTTTTTAGACAGAGCCTTGCTCTGTCGCCGAGGCTGGAGTGCAGTGGCACGATCTCAGCTCACTGCAGCCTCACCCTCCCGGGTTCAAGCAATTCTCCTGCCTCAGCCTCCCGAGTAGCTGGGACAACAGATGCACGCCGCCACGCCCGGCTAACGTTGTGTATTTTAGTAGAGACGGGGTCCTAAGCTCAGACGATCCGCGCGCCTCGGCCTCCCAAAGCGCTGGGACCACAGGCGTGAGCCACCGCGCCCGGCCTGCAAAGCCTATTTCTAACTAAAGTCAGGTCCCAACACGCTTCCCTCGACGTTGCGTTTTGTGATCCCAGGTCTTACAGTCACAGAGCGTTTCCGCGTCTGTAAAATGGGGCGAAGTGCTTCACCGTGCTATTGCAGAATTAAGCCACTGGACCTGAAGGCAAAGCGCTTAGCACGGGCGTGGCACGCGGCGGGTGCACAGAAACGCTCGCTGCCACCCTGACTCTCAACTATCCGGCACCCCAGCGCCCCGCCAGGGGCTGGAGAAACTTAGGGAGGTATCGGAGGAACGCGAAGGGCGTGTGCCCGCGAAAGATCTCAACAGGCGTTTCGAGGTCGCCTCTTCAGGCTCGGCCGCCGACGAGGTGCGTCTGAGCTCACCCAGCCCAACCCGGGCATCCCGGGACCCCAAGACCGCAGCGGGCACAGCTGGGCAGCCGAGCCCCGGGAACGCCCACTTCCGCCACAGACCTGCTCAAAATAGCTCTTTCTGGCGGCTCGCATTCGGTGGCCCGAGCCGGCCCCGGGGAGGCGGGGCCTGAGCGCGCACACGCCCCGCCCCCTTCCGTCTCGCCTGCGTTCGCGACAGGCTCCGCCGCAGCCGCTCCCCGCCCCGGCCAGGCCGTCAGCCCCGCCCCTCGTGACGTCACTTCCGGAGCTTGGGCGGAGCCCGGGCAGGGCGCGCTGCCTGGAGCTGCCTGGGCTGAGCTGCCGGCCACGTCCCCGCGCCCGGACTGGGTCTCCTTCCTACCGTTCGAGGGCCGCCGGGCCGCCGCGGGCCTACCGCGCCCGGGTAAGGAGCTCGCGCTGCCGCCCGGGGAGCTGCTGTCAGGGCTCCCTGACCGGTTTGCGACTCAGAGACAGAGGTGGCGGGCAGGAGGAGGGTTGGCTGGGGCACGAGGGGCAGAGAGAGAGTGAATGGGGCTGAGAGAGGCAGGGGGAGCGGCGGAGGGGCACGTACCGAGTGCAAGACGCGGAGGAGTGCGGGAGAGGAGGAAACGGGAGGAGTCAACTGCGGGCCGAGCATGGCTGGGGGGCCAAGAGGCAGGAGGAGGGAGGAGGGCTGGAGGGGTTCCCCGACTGGAGAAGAGGCCCCCTTGTCCCGTTTTGGAAGCAGAATGGGGACACTCGTACGGGGGGCGCATTTATCCCGGGGTCTTTCCTGGACAATTTGAGGCCGGGACTGGGCTCTAAGAAGTGTTGCCCCGAGAGAGTTGAGTGACCCGGACCTATCCCGCAGACCCTCTCCCTACCTGGGTGGAGGTTGTGCATTCCCCCAGATTCCCTCCCCTGCCCATCTGTGGCTCCCCTGCCCATCTGTGGCTCTGCCTGCTTCCCCCGTTCGAGTCACTTAGTAGCCCCCGTGTGGCTGCCTAGGATGTGCACGTAACCTTTAGGCTGATAGGAGGATCGACCTCCTCATGCGTGGTTTGCCACAAGAATCATCATCGTGCTTCGAAATCTGATTTTGACAACTTGCAGCTATCCCTTGTTCCAGGAAAAATCTCTAAAATTTTAATAAAACCAGCAAGGAAAATATTTAAAATACAAATTTTTCCATTTATAAAGTGGATCTGCCTAATGGACAAAGGAATGTCAGAGCTACCCACGTTATCAGCAAAAACTAGGCCCTAGCATTCAGCGGTGATACCGAAACTTCCAGAAACCTGGAAGCAGGCAATGTAGTTAAGGTAATGTAATAAATATCCAGTGATCCAGGTTCCCATCTGCCACGGAGTCACATCCTTTGACCTACAGGACAATGTCTATGTACACAAAGCCATAGGTCTCTGTTCCTTGGGCTTCTGCTACCAAAGTTCAGCGAGGTGACACGTCAGGGTTAGGTCTTCGGTTTGCCCTGTATTTGTTTTTGCAGTTCCTACTCCTTGGAATCTGTAGCTTGCCTAACTTGGAGTGGGGACCTGGCCATGTTGCTGCTGAGTGAGTCTTAATATATAGCCTGATAGAATGTGGGGGTAACTGCCATGGCCCTTTACCAAGCTTCAGGATTACTTGTGTTGGGTCTTTGGAACCTCTCTATGCCAGAAAAAGGAATTAAGCTGTTTCTTTTCCTTTTTTATTTTTTTAAGAGATGGGTTCTCACTGTGTTGCCCAGGCTGAACTCAAATTTCTGGGCTTAAGCAGTCCTCCCACCTCAGCTCCTTGAGTATCTGGGATTACAGTCATGCAGCACCATGCCTGGAGTCCAGCTGTGTGTAACTTGCATAAAATGCCCTACATGTAACAAGCCAAGGTTGGGAACACAAGAATTCAGACCAGATGCCTTGGGAGGCATCTCAAGATCACAAACCAGAAAAGGATTAGGGAGGTCGACACAGAGGGGCGCAGTCTGAGGGTGCCTTTCTCATGGAGTGTCACCTGCCTCAAGGGAGTGCCCTGCTGCACCTTCCTTGCAGATCCTATGGGGAGCTGATCCCTGAAGAAGGGAACACCCAGTGCCAGCCTAACCTTCCATCTCTCCATCTGGCCTGGTCTCCAACTTAATACAAACTTCATTCTCTCTTGCTCATTCCCCTCTTACCCCTGGGATCTCTTTTTCTCCATCTGTTGTGATCTGAGACCTTGATCTACCCAGTCTCTCTGTACCAGATAATAATGAGAATAACTGGGTGGGTCCCGAGACCTCCCCACCTTAATTTTGGCCTGAAGTCCTTGCAGGGGAAACAGTTATTTTGAATACTGTTAATGGTTTGTCCATCGTGAGTCAGCTTATAAAGATGACCACAGGTCCCCACATGGGATCTTGGCATTTAGAATATTCTGTTGGAAAGTGGAGCCAGGACCATAGCAGAGGGATGAAGTCACAGTACAACGAAGGCCTGTTCGTGACTACACAGTGGCCAACTCCTGTGTCTGTGGGAGTGACCACCAGCCCTACTGGCTGGGAGGGAGTAAGTGATGACGGTATCCAGCAGAAGTTTCCTGAGAAGCCCGTGGAGTGTCCTGAGATAGCCTTGTGAACGTGCTCCACGTGTGTGCTCTCACCTTTGTGTGTGTGATTTTGCGTATGTGTGTGCACGTGTGACTGCACACATGTGGCGTGCGTACATGTGCAGATGGACATGCGTGGAGCTGTATGCACACAAGTGTGTGTGACTCAGTGCATGTGTGTGGCTCTGTGTGCACACATGGGCATCTGCGTTGGGAGCAGGCCCGTGGTCATCCGTGGTATCACCACCTACTGATACCTGCCCATGATAGGAGGTGACGAGCTGTTTCTGTAATCTCCTGAGTTCTCCTTAAATATTCAGCAATGAGAGAATAATTCGTGCTGGTGAACGTCTTTGCATTATGGCTGTATGCCTGGATTCCTCTAAAGTTTTGGTTAGCTCCAAGGAAAATGTCCCTCCTGGTATATAGATCATGTAGTCTCTAAGTTATCGAAATCAATTGTGACACTGTATCAGGTGGGATAACTCTGTGCCTTTCTGCCTAGTGGCTTAAAGTACTTGAAGAAAATAAGCTGTTTTCTTTCCTTGGAGCCTTTCAGAAATGTTTTCCAAAAGTGATACATGCTTGTTAAAAGAAAAGAGATATGAAGTAGAGAATAAAAATCACAGATGAATCCATTCCCCAGGGATAATCATTAACTTTATAGTTCAAATCATTCCAGACCCTTGAATAAATGTCTCTTTTAACAAAATAGGATCGTGGTCCACCTGATTCTGTGTAAACTGACTTGTTCATTTATTGATGCATGCTGTAGCTTCCCATGTCAGTAAGTAGAAATGTGTGTATTTTTTTTTTTTTTTTTTTTTTTTTATTGAGACGGAGTTTTGCTCTTGTTACCCAGGCTGGAGTGCAATGGCGTGATCTCGGCTCACCGCAACCTCCGCCTCCTGGGTTCAGGCAATTCTCCTGTCTCAGCCTCCGGAGTAGCTGGGATTACAGGCATGTGCCACCATGCCCAGCTAATTTTTTGTATTTTTAGTAGAGACGGGGTTTCACCATGTTGACCAGGATGGTCTCGATCTCTTGACCTCATGATCTGCCCGCCTCAGCCTCCCAAAGTGCTGGGATTACAGGCTTGAGCCACCGCGCCCGGCTTTTTTTTTTTTTTTTTTTTTAAAGACGAGGTTTGACCATGTTGGTCAGGCTGGTCTTGAACTCCCGACCTCAGGTGATCCGCCCGCCTTGGCCTCCAAAATGCTAGGATTACAGGCGTGAGCCACCACGCCCGGCCTAAATGTGTGTATTTTTAACAGTTGCCTTAGTATTTTATCTATGAATAGGGCCATACTTTACAGAACTATTCCAGTGTTTTACTCTTTCTAAATAATGCTGTGAGAAATATCTGTGTAAATCATCTTTGGACATCTGTCTGAGTGCTTCCTTAGAAGAAACTGCAGTAGAAGTTGCTGCGTCAGAAGTTTTTGTTTGTTTGTTTGTTTGTTTGAGACAGAGTTTCGCTCTTGTCGCCCAGGCTAGAATGCAATGGCGCAATCTTGGCTCACTGCATCCTCCGCCTCCTGGGTTCAAGCAGTTCTCCTGCATCAGAAGTTTTGACATTGAAAGCCTTGATCCATGTTGTTGTTTTCCCAGTATGATGAACGACCTATTGAATGCTGCTCTTTCTGTGCCTCCCTCCTCATGGAATTTCCCCGTGCCTTTCCTAAGAAATGTGGACTTTTTTTCAATCCCTAGATGTCTGTCTGTTCCCAGAGCGGAGAGTCTACCTTCGTCTCACATGTGCCACAAAGGATGGCATGGCCCAGGAGTGCCCCACCACGTGGCTTTCACCCCCTGCAAAGCCAGATCTCACCGGACAACACAGTGCCAAGCCCACAGCTCTCCAAGGAGAAAGATGGCCCAGGCTGGGAGCATGCCCTTAGCAGCGGCCTCTGGTGAGTGTCTAGGCCCTTCAGACTGGGCCTGCCTGTTGGGCGATGGGAGAGTGAGCCCAGAGGGAGCTTTGCAGGGTCACCAGAGGGCCAAGGGAAAAGGAAAGACAGCCAAGCCTTATTGTAACCAAGGGAGGCTCAGTCTGTGGCCCTTAACTGTCAGAGGCCCTGCCTCCCATTTTTTTTTTTTTTTTTTTTTTTTTTAATTTTTTGAGACAAGGTCTGGTTCTGTTGTCCAGGCTGGAGTGCAGTGGTACAATCTTGGCTTACTACAACTTCTGCCTCTGAGGTTCGAGCCATCCTCCCAACTTCAGCCTCTCAAGTAGCTAGGACTACAGGTACACACCCCCACGCCTGGCCAATTTCTGTGTTTTCTGTAGAGATGGGGTTTTGCCATGTTGCCCAGGCTGGTCTCTGACTTGTGAGCTCAACCCACCCTCTGCCTCGGCCTCCCAGAGTGCCAGTATGAGGTATGAGTCATTGCGTCTGGCCAGGTGGCCTTGTCTTCTGAGTGGACTGGGGTGGTGGCCCATGGACATCATGGGGATCACGCAATCCCCTGTGACCCTCTTTGGCTTTGTGACACAAATGCAAGTTACCCGGGAAGGTTCTCCCTGACCTTGGTGATGCCCTGGCACTCACAGCAGCCTCCTCCGTGCTGCGGGGAGGCTGCGCCTCACTGATGCAGAATGGTGGAGGGGTGCCTCTTAGCAGAAGATGACGAGAGGCTGTCCCCGCCCAGGAAGGAGAAGGTTCTTGTCTGTTTTAAGGCAAGGAACTGGACAGGACGATGGGAAGGAGGAGGTTCATTTGGTAGATTGAGTCTGATCCTCCCTGCTGTAGCTGGAACACCAGCTGTGAAGCTGGCTGAAGTGCTAGAGCAGGGACTGGCAAGTTGTGGCCAAATCCTACCTACTCCCTGTTTGTATAAAGTTTTATTGGGACACAGCCATGCCACCATTCATATTTATTTCAGGGCTGCCTCTGTAGATAATAGCAGAATTAAGTAGCTAATACACAGACCGAGTGGCCCACAAAGTCGCAAATATTTGCCATCCTGTCCTACGTAGAGAAAGTGTGCTGACCCCTGCCCTAGAGATTTGTAGTGAGGGGGTAGCAAAAGGCCCAGGCCTGGGGCACATTCAGGAGCCAAGACCCTCCTCATCCATAAGAAGCCCCTGCCATATCGTCTCACCTTTAACTCATCCAGAGGACTTCAAATCCTGGGCTCAGGCCTGGGGAACATCTGGAACCCAGGGCGGTAGCATTTTAAAGGTGTTCAGTAGATATTGCTAGCCCAAGAGAGAGCCGTTTAAATACACGTGTTTATCAGAAGCCCAGCTGCACTGCCTTGCCCATGGAGGATTGTGAGTTCTTTGTGCCCGAAACCTTCCGGTTTCAGTTCTGCCTTGCGTGATGTTGGTCAGTTTCTTCTCTCCCCATCCCCCCACCCAGCTTTTTTTCTGTCAGAACAAAGAATGCTTTTTGCACTCTAGATCTGTGGTTCATAAGACCAAGTAATTTTTCTAAACCCATAACCCATCAGGAACCCTTACAGACCATTTTGAAGAGAAAGCACCATTTGAAGCTAGAAAAAGGTTAGTGACTCTTGGAAACAGACTGGAAGTCTCATGGAACATACCAGCCTTCCAGAGAAGTGTGTGCTCAAAGGCCTTTCTGCAGCCCTAGGGCAGCTTCACAGCAGTCCCCATGGATTACGGGAGGCAGAAAGCCACCCAGGGGCTTTTTGTTGCAGAGTTGCTGCTTTTGCAGCTGGAAGTGCTTCTTGGGTGGGCTGCTGACTAAGCCAGGCGCCATGCTAGGTCATTGCCTGAATTATCCCATGTCACTCCCGTGTAGCTCAGCGGGGCGCAGAGGGCCTGTGGCTGCGCACGTCACTTGGTTAGTGAGCTTGGAAGCCGGGGTTGGAACCCAGGCAGTGCTGTTGGCTGCTGCGTGTACTGCTGGTCTCCCACTCCTCTGCGTGGTCCCTTGTCCCTATTAATATTATTGTTTTTTATTTTAATTTTATTTATTTATTTATTTTTTTAGACGGAGTTTCGCTCTTGTTACCCAGGCTGGAGTGCAATGGCGCGATCTCGGCTCACCGCAACCTCCGCCTCCTGGGTTCAGGCAATTCTCCTGCCTCAGCCTCCTGAGTAGCTGGGATTACAGGCACGCGCCACCATGCCCAGCTACTTTTTGTATTTTTAGTAGAGACGGGGTTTCACCATGTTGACCAGGGTGGTCTCGATCTTTTGACCTCATGATCCACCCGCCTCGGCCTCCCAAAGTGCTGGGATTACAGGCGTGAGCCACCGCGCCCGGCCCCTGCAGTCACCTCTTTTCTCCAGGACTGCAGGTCCCCGGAGAAGAGGTTGTGTGTTTTTCATCTTTTTGTCCTAAGTGTACGGCCTGGCACATGCGTAAGCACTCAGTAAATATTGGATGAAAGGAGGGATGGATAGACAGATGGATGGATGGACGGGTGGGTGGGTGGGCGGATGACTGGATCAATGGATGGCTGGATGGATGGACTTATGGATGGACAGATGAGTAGATGGATAGAAAAGTGGATAGATGGGTGGGTGGGTGGATAGATGGACTTATGCAGGGACAGATGAGTAAATGGATAGAACAGTGGGTGGATGGATGGATGGATGAATGCCCAAATAGTATCTCCCATGTGAAAGGCACAGCCACCTGTCACAGGGTGCACATGTGGTGCATTAGGCTTGATTCGTAATCTGCAGACCATAGGAGAAGTTGAGGAGGAAGACTTGACCAGTCTTGGTGATGAGAAGGCCTTCGCCCTATGAACACAGCCAGGTCTTAGCCCTCTCTCCTGTTCTTTTAAACGCTGAACTCTAGGATGGGAGAATGGGAACTTTTGCAGGTTGAGACTCAGTGAAATCGGGTCAAGAAGTGATGACGTGCAAAGCACAGGGCAGATCATGACTACGCCATGCCTGAGGACTTCCTGGCACCCAGCCCTGGTCTCAGCACTTGGCTCAGTCTGCACCTTGGACCTTGCCAGAGCCTGCACAGCAGGTGTTCTCAGGCAAGGCTGTGCGTTGCTGGCCAGAAGCCTTCTGACCAGCATGCTTTCTTGACCACAGATCCCTTGGCCAAGCAGGAGGGAGCCATTAGCAGCCTGAGGAGCTGGCTGGCTGGGAGCCTCAGGGACTGCCCGGCCTTGCTTCCAGCTCATCTACAAGATGTGGACAGTGCTTGTGCTCATTTGGATTTTCTCCTTGTCCTTATCTGAAAGCCATGCGGCATCCAACGATCCACGTAAGTGAGAAAGCGGTGTGACTGCTGGACGGGCCCACGGTAGCCACAAAGCATGCTGAGCCCACGAAAGCAGCGTCTGCAAACCCAGGCCAATGTGTCAGGAACCCCAGCCCTCCCAGGTGCTGGGCAGGGAAGGGTTGTCAGGCCAAGCTTCCTTCTCCAGGGCCATGGTGGGCAAGGAGCCCCCAGCAGGACCAGACAGCTGAGCCCTGAAAGGTTTGCTTGCTTGGCCTGCAAGATTTGATGTCATCTCTAAATTGAATCTTCACTGGGGAGTTGTTTCCTTCATACATCAGATCTTTAGCTGTGTTCCCACTCTGTGCCATTCATTTCGAAGAATTCCTGCAGTGAATCCTTTCACAAAGCCAAACCTTTTATGATGTGAATATCTGTGCGACAGTTTCTTTGCTTTGTAAACCTGGTGTGCGTTCAGTGGGCCTTTAGTGGTAAATCACACCTGTTGTGTGAGACTTTTACTCTGATGTTTTGGGCATTGGATCAAATAGTGCAGCTGTGAAACCTTCAATGGGCAGAGAGTTCGGAGAGGGCAAAGAAGTTTTAAAATCAAATTGACAAGGGCTTTTTCAATGGGCTGCCTGCCAGCCATGGGAAGAAAGTTGGGGAGGAAGCAGGTTCGTACGTCACCTCCCCTGACTCCAGCTGGGCTGAGGAGGGGCCCCACAGAGCCAGCCTGCAGGGCGAGGTGGAAGCCGATCCCCGAGCAATCCCCCTGCGCAAGATTGAACATGATTCTCTCTCTTTCTCTTTTTTCTGACTTTAAGGCAACTTTGTCCCTAACAAGATGTGGCATGGATTAGTGAAGAGGAATGCATCTGTGGAAAGAGTTGATAATAAAACATCTGTGAATATAACCATGGCAGCACCTTCTCCTGTCACGTTGACCAAAGGGACTTCTGCAGCCCACCTCAACTCTACGGAAGCCACACCAGAGGACACAAGCAGGACAGATGTGGGTGAACCAGTAACTTCAGGAGGTACAGCTGATGGTGCGGCCTCCAGCGCTCCCAGGACTGCAGCTTCCAGCGCTCCCAGGACTGCAGCTTCCAGCGCTCCCAGGACTGCGGCCTCCAGCGCTCCCACCACTGCGGCTTCCAGCGCTTCCAGGTCTGTGGCCTCCAGCGCTCCCACGACACTTACACCGCCTGGGCCCACGTCCCTGTTCGCAGGGCAGACCCCATCTACTACCGCTGCCAGGCGCCCATCTGTCAGCACAGCCCTTGTACAAGTGCCAAGTAGCAGCTCGTCGCCAACAGCAGCAGCCCTGGCCACATTGGCCACGCGTGCTCAGACTGTAGCGACCAGAGCAAACACGAGCAGCCCCGTGAGCACTCCCAGTCCTTCTGAGTACCTGACCGGTGACACCACAGCAAGCCCTACACCCCCCACACGTTCCCAAGCACAAGGTCCCACTCGCCAGGTGTCAGTGGACCAGCCCGTGGTTAACACAACAGATAGATCCCCACCGCCCTCAAACACAACTCCGGAGCCCACTCCCACCCCCTCTGTGGCTTTGGTGTCCCCCGCGGTGGTGACCACCCCCAAGCCACAAGCCAAGGAGCCACCTCACAGCACAGCGCCAGCACCTCACAGCCCAGTCCCTGAGGTGGAGGCCACGTCCCTCACAACACAGCCAAGCCCCATGCCATCTACCCCGAGGCCCACTGGGCCACGCACACCCCAGGCACCGGAGCAGATAGAGACTAAAGCCCTGTCAGGTACTGATTCCACCGCACCAATACCCAGGAGCTCAGGGGACCCTAAGATGCCAGCCACGGACTCATGCCAGCCCAGCACCCAAGGCCAGTACCTGGTGGTCACTACCGAGCCCCTCACCCAGGCCGTGGTGGACAAAACGTTCCTCCTGGTGGTGCTCTTACTCGGGGTGACCCTTTTCATCACAGTCTTGGTCTTGTTTGCCCTGCAAGCCTATGAGAGCTACAAGAAGAAGGACTACACGCAGGTGGACTACTTAATCAACGGGATGTACGCAGATTCCGAAATGTGAGGGTGGCGGGCCCCTCCTGGTCCTTTCCTTTTGCCTTTGAGACCAAACCAAGTGCTTCCAAATTCTTTTGGTGCAATTTAGGAGATATGCCAGATGCTTAAACACATTTCATTGCTGTCAGATAATTCCATGATCACTAAAGAGTTGCTGCTTTTTTCATATTTATTTTTGTAAATGATCCTGTGCCAGGAGCAGCTGGGGATTTCACCTCAGGGTGGGATGGGCAGAGCCCTGTGCCCCCAGGTGTCAGAGCCTGACCTGCATTAAAGGACTGACTGCTCTCCGCAATCGTGTGGGTGCATCCTCTCCTCGGGGAACCTTTCTGTCATGCACGTGGCGGGGTTTTCTGTAAACATGCACCATCACTCGGCTCCCTAGAGGTTGACAGTGTCCTGGCCACCATCCTGGGCTTCTTCCTGGTATCCACCACCACACCGGTGCTTGCTGGGAGGCTCCTGGGTTCCAGAAGAGGACACAGCCAGCATCTTTAATCCTTTCTGACATGTTCGGTGGTGAGCCTCCTGGAGCTGGCTTTGGGGGCGAGGGAGCTGAATTCAACACATCACCCCCATGGTGTGGCCAGCTCCTCCTGAACCTGCTCAGAACAGAATTCGTGATCCTGCCCCGCTCATGAGGTGGGATCATTATCGTTAGTCCTGAATAGGCCAAGTCCCTTGCCCCAGGTCACCCGGGATCCCAGGGGCAGGCCTGGAATTCCACCCCAGAGCCCACTCCATCAGGACAATTCCCCTGGATTCCAGGCTCCCCATCCTGAACAGCAGGCAGAGCCAGCACTTGCTCTGTGCTTGTGACGTGCCTGCCCTGTCCCCGTGCTGTGTGAGTGTAACCCACTGCGTGTGTGTAACCCACTGTGTGTGTAACGTGCTGCATGAGTGTAACCTGTTGTGTGTGTAACCCCCTGCACATGTGTGACCTGCTGTGTGTGTGTAACCACTGTGAGTATAGCCTGCTGCGCATGTGTGACTGCCGCGTTGCCTCAGCCCCAGGAGATCAGCACGGCAATCTCCATTTCGAAGATGGGACCACTGAGGCACCAAGTAAAGTCACCCCCAGAGGCTAGAGTCAGGATTGAACCCTGGTCCTAGAGTCCCAGCTCTTTGTCTAACTAGGTTTCTTTACCACCTGTCCAGCCGAGCTTGGCCTTCCGTCCATCATCTGCCCACCTGCCCGAGGCAACGAGCTGTTGGGCCACACATGGCCAGGGCATCCTCTAAGGCCATGTTCTCAGGTCAGGTCTGCAGCTGCTGAGATCTGGAGCAAGCGATGGAATGTTCCTCTGGGAAATGGGGAGAGGCAGAGCAGCATGTGTTCTAAACATGGCAGTGTGGGGCCCCACCCCAAAAGGGTCACAGAGTTGGCTGTGGCTTCTCAACCACCTGGCACTGAGGGAGAGCCGGTCTTTGGAATCTCCAGTCCCCCGCTCACTGTGATTGTCCTGGGCTGGGTCTGGGTGTCTAGCTTCCATGTGAATTCACTTGCTCCAAAAAAGATGTCAAAGGCCGAAACAGTAAACTCCCAAACCATTTCAAATCACTTCAAAACCGAGGTTGGAGAAATACCAAGGGCCTCTGCGGGGCACCTCTACATCCAGGGAATAGGCCACAGGGATCCACAGAGTCAGCCAGTTCCCCCGCCCACCAGGGCCCCAATTCTTTTTTTTTTTTTTTTTTTTTTTTTTTTTTTTAACAGAAGAATCATGCTCTATTGCCCAGGCTGGAGTGCAGTGATGCGATCTCAGCTCAGCGTAGCCTCTGCCTCCTGGGTTCAAATGATTCTGCTTCAGCCTCCTGAGTGGCCAGGATTACAGGTACACACCACCACACCTGGCTAATTTTTGTATTTTTAGTAGAGACAGGATTTTGCCCTGTTGGCCAGGCTGGTCTCAAACTCCTGACTTCAGGTGATCCATCTGCCTCGGCCTCCCAAAGTGCTGGGATTCCAGGTGTGACCCCCCCATCCTTGGGGGTCCTATTCCAAACCCCCTGCCATTGTTCTCTCTTAGACAGCATTCCTCTGGACCACAGGTGCCTCAAACTCAGCATCCAAGGCCGAGCTCAGCATCAGCCTCCAGGAGTGTGTTTGGCCTCAGGGGTCCTCCCTGTACCTAATGGCATCCCCATGTGGGCTACCAGAAAATGCTTCCCCCCGAGTCCAATCGACCATCCTTAAGGTTCCTGTACTCTGGCTGCTTCACCTGTCCTGACCCCAGCTGCTGCCCGGGCCTTGGGCCCTGCCACCAACTGCCTGCCCGCTCTGCTCCCAGACAGCCTGGCACATCTGTCTTCCACCCTGCAGCAAACACCAACCTGACCAGTCGTCCCTGCCCAAAGCCCCACATTCCTCTGCGCAGCACTGCAGGCCCACTGCAGCCCCTGTGGACCGCCTCGCCAAGCAGAACTCGAGGTGCCTCCAGCACACACCTGTCCAAATCCAGGGATCCCAGGCTGTCTCTTCCCTGCCTTGGAGGCCACCAGATTGCGAGGTAAACCAGGTGCTGTCCTGGCTTACACAGAGTTCCATTCGACTCAATTTATCAGATGCCTAGTGAGCACCTACTGTTTGCCAATCCACTGGGGATTCAGAGATGATGTGGCCCAGGAGCCCGCGGTGTGGTGGGTGAGACCCCGCCTCGTGAGGAACACAATGAAGGTGAGAGGTGGACTCAGAAAAGGCGCCTCCCCAACCCTGGGGAGCTTAGAGAGCTGGGAGCCCCGCCTTCAGGCTTTCTGTTCCTGCGGCAGGGGCGGCGGTGGCTGACCCAGGGCCTGGCGCAGCACTGGCACACAGGAGGTACACAGTCCCTAACTGATGGGTGAGAGTTTGCACGGAATGTGCCAGAAGGCCAAACAGAAGTGAGAGTTCGATTCGGGGCCTGGACCCAAAAAGAGCTCTCTTCCTTTCACGGTGAGGAAACTGAGGCACAGAAAGGCCAAGTTGCTTGGCCAAGGTCATCCACCAAGCAATGGCAGCACAGGATTCTCACCGGGTCGGTCTGTTTCGTCTGCAAATGTTGGGCATGGCTCCGGAGCATGCGGCTTCAAAGCCCTGAGAGCCTCAGCAGCCAGACAAAAGCCAGCCAGCTTCTCTAGGGACAGCCCCGCGTCTCCCAGAGGAGGCAGTCCCAGGGCTCCTCCTGGTGGCGGGCGAGGCTCCCTGCCTTCTTCTTTTTTTTTTTTTTTTTTTTTTTTTTTCGTTCGTTTTGAGACGGAGTTTCTCTCTTGTTGCCCAGGCTGGAGTGCAATGGCACAATCTCGGCTCACTGCAACCTCCAGATTCTCAGTCTCCCGAGTAGCTGGGATTACAGCTGTGAGCCACCACGGCCGGCTAATTTTTCGTATTTTTAGTAGAGATGGGGTTTCACCGTGTTGGCCAGGCTGGCCTCAAACTCTTGACCTCAGGTGATCTGCCCACCTTGGCCTTCCAAAGTGCTGGGATTACAGGTGTGAGCCACCGCGCCTAGCCCCTCCCAGCCTTCTTCACCAGCCCTGCTGCTGGCCTTGGCCAGAGACACCCTCCCACCCTCCTGCCCCCTGCACCTGTCACTCCATGTTTGCAGGTGGAAACCCCTTAGTGGGCTCCGCTGACACCAGGGAGCCTTCCTGGTTACTCCACACGGGAGAACTCTGGCCGTACTTGGTTGTTCCAGGCCAGGGGCTCAGCTCCCACTGTGGGATGGATTGTTCTAGGTGGAATTAGAACATTTGTGCCTGTAACTGTCTCCCAGCAGAGGGAATCCACGAGTTCGGAGAATGCAATAAACTCACAGGCAGCTCCCAGGGCCTCTGTCCCAGAACCGACCAGCTGGGTTAGTTGGGACAAACCATGTCCACACTCAGCCACAATTTCTGTATCTACAACTTTGCTTCAAGATCCAGCACAGTGACAGACAAGAGCCCATACGTTTTTGAACAGGGACTACGTGCGGCTGTCATTGAATGCTCTGCTGTTACGGTCTTCCTGCTCCCCACGCCAGCCCGACTCATCCTCTGCACAGCAGCCGGAGGATATTTTAAAAACACCACTCAGCTCCTAATACTCCCCTGCACAGCTCCCTCTGATGGCCTCCCACTGTGAGCAGGAAACAAAATCTAAACATCTGAAGTAAAAACGCAGATGAAAAACCAAGGAAATGTGGGATCCAGGCAGAGAGAGCAGCAGTGCAGAGCCTCTAGGTCAGATCCAAGGCCACATGTGTGAGGAGAGAAGGGCCCCGGGGACAGTGGGAGAGAGAGGCCGAGGCCAGGGGACAGCAGCAGGGGACGAATGGGGCAAGCCCAGGAAAGCACAGGGGAGTCACGTTATCCAGTTCAGAGTTTAAAAGATTATTCTGTTGCTTGAGGATGAAGTCTCAGGCTATCTGAGATGTGCTTTAAAATGCTTCCGCACCAGGAGAATGGGGCTGGGTAATCATGCCACAAGACACAGATGGCTGATGGGGTCACGGAAGTGGTGGGTCTGTTTCCCACTCTCTCCCTGTTTGTGTGTGTTTAGAAATTTCCATCATCAAAAGTTAAAAGAGGCCGGGGACAGCAGCTCATGCCGAGGTAGGTGGATCATTTGAGGTCAGGAGTTTGAGACCAGCCTGGCCACCATGGCAGAACACCGTCTGTAGTAAAAATACAAAAATTAGTCAGGCATGGTGGCGGGTGTCTGTAATCCCAGCTACTCAAGAGGCTGAGGCCGGAGAATAGCTGAATCCAGGAGGTGGAGGTTGCAGTGAGCTAAGATCACGCCAGCGCACTCCAGCCTGGGCGACAGAATAAGGCTCCATCTCAAAAAAGAAAAAAAGTTAAAAAAGTGAATGGAGGTTCACTTCCAGGGGTCGCGCCACCCCACTCTCCAGCCGGGGCTCTGGGCTCCGGCGTCTGCTTGGCGGCAGCCTCCCCTCGGACCGACCCAGCGGGACCCAAGGGACCGAGCCGAGCCGCGAGGCCCACTCCAGCCCGGCCAAGGCCTCGGATCCACTCACGTAGGGCAGTATGCACCTTAAGAGCCTAAAGAAAAGGCACAAAGCGTTCAAGTGATGTTTCAAAAGGATTTGTGAGGGTGCGTCAGGGAAATCATGCAGCCATCAGGACACAGGCTCCGGGACATCGAGCATCACCCTCTCCTGACCGAAAATGACAACTATGACTCCTCATCATCCTCCTCCTCCGAGGCTGATGTGGCCGACAGGGTGTGGTTCATCCTTGATGGCTGCAGCATGATCTGTGGTGTCATGACATGGCTTCTGGTCGCCTATGCAGACTTCGTGGTGACTTTCATTA